TCACTCACACACCTTTATATACGGCCGCATAAAAAAGAAGGGAAAGAAAAAAAAAAGAAAGACTTTTTTCTTTTTTCTTTGTATTGGAGGGTCAGAAACGGTCGGTGATCAAACTCCAACAACCAAAATAGCCGCGGTGATTTAGTGGAGCGAAAATCCATTATGGCTCCATCCAAAGGTAATGACTTTTTCAAGCCTCCCAGCTGATTCTCCAGAACAAGAGTGGAAGGAGAAAACACACACAGTGGACAAATCAGGCCTTTGTTCAGAGCGGTGTGGGGTCCTGAAAGAGACTTTTTAGGTCATTCGCTCCCCTCAATCTTTTCTCGGTGGCAGCAGAAGGCTGCGGCATCTCCATCAGAGCCGAAAGCCCCGGTCGGCGCGGCACGGGGAGGAACAGGATGAACCATTACGATTGATTTGCAACCTGGTTGCCAAAACATTGCGCTTTAAAGGTGAACATTATGGAAGCAACGCTGTACAGAGGTGCTTTTCATTTTTATGCCACAGAGTGAAAGCGCTCTGAAAATGATTCAGTATTCATGCAAGAAAACGTAAATAAAAAAATAAAAGTGTCTTGTTCTTCCGGCATGGATGACTCACGCTTCGAGGTGCTGCTTCTCGCTGCATCGTTACAGTCACTTAGAAAACTATTCATTACCTTGAACAAGGCAGCAAAGTCCCAACTACCTTAGAGAAACAGATTAAATGATTCGCAAATGTCTTTCCACTGAGAATGCTCAGATTCTCTTTCATAAAAGGGGCTGGTTCTCTTATTATGTAAACTCAACGCTTTTCCCTTTTTGTTTTGTAGCTATCCATCATCTTATATCATTCCCTCATCAAAATATATGCAGGTAGTTGCCTTCATCCTTTCATACATGTTTGAGAAGTCCTTTAATCTCCCATGGCAATCATTGGTTGGACTTAGCTCCGCCTTCAAGGACGAAACTCCTCCTCAAGCTTCTGAGCGTCACAGCAAAAAGGCTAAAGAGATTATCTGGGACCAAACAGTCCAAAACGGAGGATAACAGGTGTTAGATCCAAAAAAACAGTGGGGTTTTATTTACCCCAAAGCATGAACAATAATCAAAATAGCAATTAGACAGGCACGGCAATCAAAGAGGTCAACGCAAAATACTAAACTCAAAGACATAACAGACTGACCTAACCTGAAATGACACATAAGGGCATTTAAGTAGTGGCTTAGCTATGACGCTGCACGCTCACATGGGGCAACAGGACGAACAGAGAGAGAGATAAAAGCACGACGAGAACAACAATTTAAAACCCTGCAACATCAGTTTAAAGCTTCTGCAGTCGGAGATACAACCATCATCCCAATCAGATTCTCCTGCAGCTAGTTCTGGTCTTTGAGTTGCTGATAGTCGGCCTTTGACCTCTGCTCAACAGGCCCAGGCTGAGGCAATGTCAGCCAGTCTTAATCCATCTGCTTCATCTGCTATTCAGTTCTCTCCACAAATGGAGGGAAGACTGGAGACGTTAGCTGAAGGCCAAGATACTGAACATTTTTTGGTTACATTTGAACGTACGCAGCTCATCGGTGGCAGGAGTCCGATTGGGTTTTTCGTCTGGTACTGTCACTCGCTGCACTACGTACGTATGGACATTGATGACTCATTAGGTCATGATGATGATATGAAAAGATGAGCTGTGTTGAGACGACTTCCTGAGGGCGGCGCGTTAAATCAGGAAGTCTGATTTCTTTTAAGTCATACTTCGTCAGTCTCCTAAAATAATTTCTTTTTTTTTTTTTTTGCCAAAAGTAATGCTGAAAAAAAAAATTATTATAATCAACACTCATTTCTTTTTAAGAGATTTTTGGCAAAAGAAAAATGAATTGCGTCATTGTTATAGGAAGGTGACAATTGGATATTTAAAGCATTTTTGTAACAATTAAAGGTAACGATTATTTTGTTGTGCTATAAAATGGCACCAGGTACCTAGAAAATGCAAAATACTGGCCCTTTAACATGTCTTATGAAGCGGTGCTGGATGAGCAGTGGCTTAAGAAAAAAAGCTTATACAGTACTGGCATTTAAAGAAAACAAATCCTACGGTACTCAGAGGTTTCCAGATAGAGTCTGGACCGAGCCACGGGGCGATCTCGTGTTCAGAGGACTGATGCCGCTCCGCTGCAAAGTGCTGCTGAGAATTCCCACATGCCAGGAGGGCTGCTGCAGATGTGAAGCAGTACATCACCTTCGATTTAGATAGCAAGTATAACAAAATAAATAAATAAGTGAAGCCGCGCAGTAACACAGATTCCTGACAGACTGAGTTTTACAGCCAGATTCATATTGATTCTCTGAAGCTGCGTAGACGAGATGCTGAACTAAATCACACACACAACACACCGACTCACTGCCGTGGGTGGATGTAAATAAACTCCTCTGCTGTGCAAAATCCAGTTACATGAACTGAATAAAGGTACTTGAATAAAAGAGAAATGACAAAGTTGGGGTGCAGCGGGCGCATCATTAGCAAGCAGATCTCATTTACGGAAACGCCGAGTCTCAGCGCCTTCAATCAGCTGCTCGAGTCGCGTGTGTGTGTGTGATCTCTTCCTTGTCACTGTTGCTTCCTATTTTATGCATTTTTTTCTCCTGCTTCTGAGTCTGGGTTTATTTTGTTTTAAATAATGCAAAGTATTCACGCACCTGGTGGCCTTTTGGGGTTTTCTTGTGTTTCGGCCACAAAGGTTTTTTTTATTGGGTATTTGTGCGACAGACCAACACAACGCAGTGAATAATGCTGAAGGTCACAAATTATCCCAGTAATTTAAATAAATATCTGAAAAGTGTGACTTGTGTCAGTATTCAGTATTTGTGTGTGAAATTATCTGGAGGTTCGGATACTTTTCATCTCACAGAATCAGATTTGAAAAGCATTTAAAAGCTCATAAAGTATTGAGGCTTTTGATTCATGTTTGCCAACACATCTAAAAAAAATCTATGTGACACAACAAACAAGGTGTGAAACCTCAATAAGGCTTGTCCTTGATTAGAGCCAGCTTTAGGCCTCTGCATTAATTGCCAGCCCTTCAAAATGTTACAGCAGAAATGTTTACTGAGGTAAATCATCTTTAATCCTCTAAAATAGGTAATTAACAGGTGGCGGTCGCTCTTCTGGTTCGGCGCTGTACTTTATGCGTTTAATGAAGAAGGGGGGGATGTTTGAGGGTCAGAGTGCCGTGTTAATGTTCATCAGCATTTTGGAGACGACAGAAATCACGACGCCCTTAAAAGGACACAGGAACAAGAGAGCCGGCTGCGTCAAAGCAAATTTACAGCGACGCACGAGCGACGCCGCTCGACAAAGCGAACGCGACCGCACGCCGTCGACTCGTCTTCCCGGTCTGATGAGAGGCGAGCCAACAGGAACCGGACTCCCGTCTCGCCTCTGATCCCAGATCAGACCGACGGCAGCCATTTCCATCTGCCAAAACACCAACAGCCAGGAGATAAGTGACCTCTGGAGCCGGCCTGGAGCGGACGCTCGGCGTGATCGACAGAGCAAAGAACGCCCGGCGTTTCCGGAAGCATCAGGAGCGGAGACGTGCCGCTGCTGACCGGAATCTAATGATCCTGTGCTCGACGAAAATTCAACAAAAAAAAAAAAATGAATGAAAGAAAAGCATAATTTACAATGATACTACTGCGACTAAGTGGACATTAAAAGTTTGCCATTTTAGCATTTTTTCCTTTAAGCGTAGTGATGAATTTGTATTCAAGAGACCAAGTAGAAGAAAGAGAAAGAGAGGGAGAGGAAAAACTGTTTAAGAAATAACAAGAACCTAACTGCTAATATAGGATGACATCAGCAAATAGAAAGGACAACTCTTCGCTGGAGTGTTTTTAATGTTGAAAAGCTGCAGTGCGTAACTTTTACAAAAATATGTTTTTTCCATATTTGTTAAAACTGTAGCCATGTTGTGACTGTATGTCATGAGACAGATTATCTGAGAAGCTCCTCCATCTCCTCCCTGAGCTTCAATTGCCATCTGAAGAAATTTTCCTCCGCTCCCCGTCAAAAACAACCAATGAGAGTCAGGAGGAGGGTCTTAGTGCTGTCAATCACTCTCATGTACTCACTGCTCAATGTGGTAATGGTGCAGTCATTGTTGAACATGCTAACTAGCTTTAGCATTTGTGGCAGGCTGTGTTGTGACAAACCAGCTCAAGCATCGCAGAGAGGAAGGGAGTGAAGTGGGGTTGAGAATGAGAGTGATTGACAGCGCAGAGACCCTCCTGCTGGTTCTGATTGGCCGATTCCGATTGAGCGGTGTATTTCTGGAGTTGGTGCTTGGACCACTGGGAAAAGGCAGAGCAACTCATTTAACCAACCGATTGTCTGTCTACAGATTTCTTATTCTGTCATGACATTGTGGTAATTTTAACAAATATGTAAAAATCATTTTCCATAAAAGTTGCATACTGCAGCTTTTAAATGATTTTTTGGCACAAAAGTCTAAAAACAATGTGAATTCTTCCCTTATACATTCTTGTAGCTCAGTGGAGAAAATAAACAGTTTCACAAAAACCAGAGGCATAAGACTCTGATCAGCGCATCTCTACTTAGAAGCCATCTTATTATAAGACATAAAAAAAAACACAAAATGAAAGAACTGATTAATCACTTTGCATGTCCTCTCTGGAAAAATGGAGTCATTCCACCTTGTGTACAAGCAAAAACAGAAAAAAAAGCAAGAAAAATCTCCCTAATACACTTTCTTCCTACTGCAGGGAAACATCGTTTTTTCCCAAATGACTCCATGCAGGAAATGCAGCTAAAATGAGGTATCGGCTTATTTAACCTGCACTAAGAACGCGGGGCTGCTTCAGTTGTGAACGGTTTTCAGCTCAACAAGGCCTGGGAAGATTTACTGGCGGGTCCGGTTCCACGGCGAGACCAATGGTCCGGAAAGGCAGCGGCTCTTTGGGCTTCCCCCCCTCGTCCAGCCGGCTGCGCGGACTCACCTTTCATACCGAATTTGGAGCGTCGGCCGTACTTGTTGATGAGAACGAAAAGGACGAGGAGAAGGACGCAAGCGAAGCCCGCCAGGCCCACGGCGATGGTGACCTGGGAGGGAATCGGGAAAACAGGTCTAATCAAATCAGGGTGAAATGAGGTGATTTCTGAGGTGCTTTTGGTTTAATCCTGCAACTTGCTATCCTGCGCTTTGAACGAAAGGTTGCAGCTTTTTAACAATATACATTTCTCTCTTTCACATTTGACTGAAGTCTCTCTTGTTTAATATCGCAGCTGGAATCTAAAAAGCATGCTTGAAAATGACATTAAAAGATATCTGTAGTTATAGAATAGAAATGAAAACATTTGTAAAATCAGGGAAAGCCAAGAGGTGAGGAACATAAGATTTTTCTTTCACATTCACTCATAGTTAAAACTTTGTGGCTCAGATGGCAGAGCGGAGCTTTTTTCTTGAAAGCAAATTAATTTCAGAAAAAAAAAGTTGCACTGAAAATTAGTAGCTGCTCAAACAAACTTCGGCGGTTTTTGCTTCTTGACAAACAAGCGTTGCAGATCTTTGGATCAAGTTTGATGTCAGACATTATGAATTCGTTTAGCAAGAGAAACCAAGATACTAATGCCCTCTTGTTAAACCATGAATTAGAGCATTATGCTAAAAAACAAAAAACAAAAAAGAAAATCATCAAATCTGCCAAAATGATTCTGAAAAAGACGGTGAGAAAACTTCGATGAAACGTTTCGCCGACTTTGGTCTGATATTGAACTCGGCTTGTCACGACTCAGCAGCAGAACTGAAATAACGCTATTTTCCCATCATGTTGTCTTCATAGATCACAACCTTTGCGTGGAAAGTGATGTCCGCCTGTCTCAGATGCAAGAACCAGAACTTTTAGATATTTTCTCTCTGCTTCGCTTTATAGCACAACATTTTCTAATGTTGCAAAGAGAAAACAAATGTCCTGTTTATTGTTTTCAGTGCGACATCTTATCACGTTTCACCTCGTTCCTTTCTTGACTGATTTATTTTTGTTGTTTTTTTCGAACGCCTGTCATTTTTTTTTCCCTCCATGATTTTACTAAAAGGCTTCAGAAATGACCGTCTGTGTTAACAGGTGCGGCAGCAGTGACACATTATAGTTCGGCGTTGTAAATGGAGCCGCTGCAATTTCTCTCTCGGCGGGGAAGTGGTCATAGCAGGAGAAACACATGTTTAATTAATAACTCCACCGTGGCTCACTTCCATCAGGCGGGAGAGGACGGCACGCCAGTGACCGGTGTGCAGTCGACCCATGAAAGGAGAACTGTCACAGAAGACTGACAGCAGCCATTATGAATGTTATTAATTACACCTGTGCACTTCCTGCTCTCATATGTCAAAATGTCTGCCATTTATAAGTCTATTAAGAGCCCATTAAAGGTTAGCTCTATCTACCGGGGCGCACTGGAAAGAGAAAAATATGAGAAAATATGGGGAACACAGAGCTGTTTAATAATGCATCGCGCGGACGCAGACCTGCGGGCCGAACGCAGACATTTTGGGGTTTTGATGAACAAACTGACGGTTGTTCACGGAGGAAGATTAAAACGCCCCGGAGACACACGTGTGTGCTCAGCTTTAGGCTCCAAAACAGTGAAATTAATTGTGATTAATTCACTGTTTCAATGATCTTCAGCTAATTTGGACATCGGTCAATCGTTCAATGCACGAGTGTGGAGACTCAAAAAAGGCCGTTTGCTGAAAGAGCAACACACTGAGTCTAGACTGAACAGAAAGTAAATAAGTTTTGCGTTCAATCGATAAATTCTTCTTTGCGAGAATCCAAAAGGTGATTATCATTTTGCCATTGCACTGACGTTAAGTCAAGCGGAAAGGGCTGAGCTTTTGATGTTAGAACAATTATTTTTAGCTGTGGATCCATCCTGTGCTTCAAATGATTAAACTAAAGGAACGTAACGTTGTCGCATGTTAGGCAGAGAAAAGAAACTAATAAAAATTAGGGAGTATTTGCAGAAAACAAAAGCATCTCTCCACCCAGGTCAGGAGTTGTTTTTTTGGGTTTTTTTACCAGCCGTTTCAACCATGTTTTTAAAGAGAAAACTCACCCCAAAGGTGTCTTCTTCTGGTCGCCCTGTTTCATCATCTGGGATCCCACCTGCAACACAGAAGCACAACAAAAGGCATCAGAGGCTCAGGGAAGGAAGAAAACCTTTTATGACATTTGTTTTTCTCCTTCGTTGCAAACGCAGGTAATAGCCGCGCACACTTTTATTCATTTTAGCCCGAGCCGAGCTGCATTGTGTCATAAACCACCGTCTATGCAGCTGACCAGTGAATTAAATCAATAACAATACGTACACAGGTTAATGTGCAACCTAAAAGCTCCGAATTACAAAGAAATGACACCATCTGATATTCAGGTTCTTGATTGATTGTGCAAATGTGTCATTTTAGAAGATTGCAAAACTATTCACCCACTGTGCAAAACTAGTTTCAGCTAGTTTTTCACACTTACAGACTGACATTATTTCCCTTTTTCCCCTCAAAATCGAACAGCATTGTTTTATCTGTGAATAACAACGTCTCAGGTTGTTGTCTGGACACAACTCTGGACTTTAAAATGGGTTTTTCCAAAACATAAATTTGCTTTGATCTAAACTGCTAACGAGCTGCATGTTTAGGACAAAGTTCTGATACATTGAGCTCATTTTCATTCTGGTCCGTATCAAGATCAAGGGCCAGTTGTGTATGAATGTATTGATAAGGCCTGGTAAATTGTTCAAATATTAACAGACAGCTGTCTATGCATTCGGTTCTTAAAATGTAAAAAATATGTATACATGTGTGTATATGTGTTCACATTGTATACACATAGTTGCTTTGATTTGATCAACATGAAACTGTTTTTTTTTTTTTTTTTATATTCTATCTGGAGATGGGATCGATTTCATTGCATTCTCTTTACAATGATACACTATTTTGTGTTTGGCCTGTCATATTAGTGCTCTGTTAAATACACTGAGGCTTGTAGCTGGAGTGTGAAAGAGGTCAGGGGTTCTGATGCTTTTGCGAGGCTCTGCACCATCCAGCAAGCCCACAAAGTGTGTTGAAATGCACATAAATGAATAACTTTAAATATGATCAAACATATCAAAAAACACTGCTGCGCCCGGACTCGGGCTCCCAGGCAAAGACCCTGTGAGCATTTTGCCACAGCTGCACAATCGCATGCGCGCACTTGAGCCACTAAGACACAGCAAAACAGAGGCAGGGTCCATGTAGAAGTAAACATTCATAAAAGAGCCACAGAAGGAAGCAGATGCCGACATGCCAAGTGTTACATCAGGTGAAATAAAGCCAGTCTAAAGACACGGAGAATGCAACAAACAAATATTGCGTGGAAAAAAAAAAACAAGAGTTTGGCAAAAATTTCAACCTAATGGATTTGAACTGAGTGGCATAAATTTTGCACGATGCTCAAAAAATACACCTAACAATTACAGATTTTGATAAATAAATTTAAAAAAAGAGAAAGAAAAGGAATTTCTAATGTGTAATGATATGAAACCGTGAAAAGAAAATAACTTCTGGGACCTCCGGTCAGGGCTTTAATGAGTAATTGCGGGGAAATTAATGGCTGGCTGCCACTTGCCCAGGCATGAACACCTACACTGCTGAGTGTGTGTGTGCGTGTGCGTGTGTGTGTGTTTGCCACCACTAACCCCGAGTCCCTCCCTCTCGTCTATGATCCCTGTCTTCTCTCCGGCTTCTGCGCTCCTCTCTGCCCGGCAGTGTTAGCATCACTCAGCCTGTCAGCAGTCTACCCTCTGTCACCAAACGCCCTCACAAGCAGCAGTACGAGTCGGCGCATGCGTGCCAGCATGAGGCCACAGCATGGCCTCGTGCGGCTGGGCCCTGCAAGTCCACTCGTCTCCTTCGCTCGTCGCAGCCGCACCTGACCCGGCTGGAGCCGACGGCTTCATATAGATGAGGGAGGAAACCCAACCAAAGTCAAAGATTGGTTCGGCCCAATTTGATTGAGCTGCCAAAAGCGTGTAAAAGACAAACCGAAAACGACCTGAAAGTTGATCTTAGCAGCAGCTTTCCTGCTCACGTTGCTCATGATATGATCAAAGGAATTTCAATAACACTGTTATGCAACACAGTAATTCATGCTGTGACAACCAAAGAGAGGCCTTCTTCAATGAACACCCTATAGTCATATAGCTAAGGTAGGCAATTAGAGAAATACTAAATTATACATACATATATTTATATATATTTCTTTTTTTAATCCAAAAAACCACTGAAACCAAAGTGACAGCCAAATTTGAAGAGCTTCTGTTCAAAACAGTTCATGTTGAAATTGGTGGTGGAATCTGATTAAAATGTTAATCAAGTTAATTGCAGGGTCTGTCATCAATAATTGCATTTTAATCAAAGAAACCACAGTAAAATTAGCAACACTTTCAATTCAAAGACTGAGCAGCTGCTAAATCGTTGAGTAAGCAGACACATGAGCTCAACCACAAAATATTGATCCATTTTGAATCTGTCATTTAAGTCATTCAACCATCAGGTCGATGACCTGCTGTGTGTCAGGCTTACGGTGCAATAGAAGCACAGCGCAAGGGTAGGAAGTACAGGAGGGGAAAATGGTAAAAAAAAAAAAAAAAAAAAAGTGGTTGTCAAAACTAACTAAATCATTGGCTCCACACAGCGCTTGGTTCATACAAAGAGGATTTACTCTACTTGACAAAGTAGATCAAATGTCATTGCTAAGAACTCCTTTATGGAGGAGCACTTAGTGAACAAATTTGTCCATGCTTACTATCCTGACAGTGTTAGTGAAACAGCGTCTGTGTGTCTGTGTGCGTGTGTGCGTGTATGTGTGTGTGTGTGTGTGTGTGTGTGTGTGCAAACCCACATATAACAAGGAGTAACAAACGGGAAGAAAAAAAACAACAAAAAAACAAAGAAAAAACAGAAAAAGTTAAATCCAACAAGGTTGCACTGAAAATAGAAACACTCACCTATTTCCACTGAGCCTGTAAAAGAAGAGACAGAGAATGTCACGCCATGTCAATAAGCTGACAGGTTTCGCCCCGGAATGCCGACCGTGGGGAGAAATTTGCCAGACTTTGTGGGTTTCCTTTCCTCCCGCTCGGTGAACTCGGTGTGAACTGCAAGTGAACAACCTACCTGACTGAACCTGACTGAACAGGAGGGATTAGCTACACATGCTCTGTTGGAACGTTTTACTATAAAACCAAATCCTCCAATATGTTCTGGAGTGATTGTGGAATCCGGAAACGTCCGAATTGGAAAGTTTACAAAAAGCCTAGTTGAGAAGTCAGAAGTTGAACATGATCTCTTAAGGTGGAATCAAAAAATGGGGATTTTTTTGGATGGAAACTCTACATTGGGTTCATTTTCTCTCAAACCTGGGAATTGAAGCTTGCTTGAACCGCATTTTGAGTAAAGAAAGAAAAAAGTCGTCCACTCACCAATTTCCGTCAAGTCTTTGAGGAAGTGGCCGTACACCGTCTTCGTGACTGTTCCCAGGTGATTGCTGGCCTCCAAAGTGTAGTTGCCGTTATTGAGGTGGGTCGGGTTTTTAAACAACAGACAACCCTCCAGGTAGTCCTGGTAGGTATCCTTGTCGGTCCAGATAAAGTCGTTCTCCTTGATCTCCGTCTGCTTGTGGAACCAGCGCAGTTTGGGGTACGGGTAACCGCGAACTGTGAATTCGATGCAGGTGTCATGGCGTTTCTCCGGCTCAGCCAGCCTCAAGATCACAGGAGGAACTGCAGAAAAAGGAAGGAAGAGGTTGAAAACGCATGAGCATGGCCGAGTCTGAGTCTCTAGACTGTTGGAAAATGCAGGATCATGTCATAAATATAAGTTTTAACACATAGGAGCCTGTATTGGTCAGGGAGGTTCTGCAACTCTTGGACTGGGGAGACAAAAAAAATAAACAAATCCTGTCCTAAAATCTCTGTTTCTGTTTTCTGGTATGCAGCCGCACATCTTTGAATCCACACCACCACCAAGCTGAGAGGCAATTTATCTCTTTAATACTATCAGCTACTCTCGGTGAACAATTCATCCGTTGACTTGTCTTTGCAGTGAGTCACTCTTGCTGTTTCATTATCAAACAGAAATATTTGGCAGCTGATATTACCTGGCGTGCCTCTCGGTTTCTGTCCTTTATTCCCCCTCCGCCCATCACATCTATCCAGTCACAATACAGCACTGATTTTAGTCGACTCTAGCCAAGTCTCGCTGTTGCCTTGTGTGAGGAATATGCTGCCCAAAAAAAAAAAGGGGGAGGGAAAAAGAAGTGCTGCTGTGCTGCTGGAAGAACCCACGCAGCCCCCTGATACTGCATCAAAGTGTTTTTACGGTACGGTCGTTCCAGTTGGAAATTCATCCACAAAAGAAAAAGAAAGAAAAAAGACACGATGCAACAGAATAAGTTGAAGGATGGCTAATTTCATAATCATCTGTTTAGCCATCTTAAAATCCCTCCACAAATATAAAACACTAATTGAAAAACTGGTAGGAGTTATCCTCCAAAGATATGTGTTTTCAGAAGAAAAAAAAAGTGCATTGATATTTCAGTCAGCAGATCAGAGTGGTCTCAGCAACATTGTGCAACCAAAAACACAGATGCTCAACGACAGGAAGTCTGGAGCAGGGGTCAGCGAATCCCAGCGACGTGTCGCTGTCCCTGCTCCAACGTGCCTGCATCCAAAGGCTTAATTGCCTTCTTGGCATGTCAGGACGTTTTCAAAACCTGGTCATCAACCCTTCATCAAAATGGTGGACAGGGAACATATCAGGACGGTGAGACCAGAGGACTTGAGCAGCACGCTCCATCCTCTGGTCCGACGTGAGACTCTTCCGGTGCTTGTTATTGCTGAGAGTTGTCACATGTCAAGCGACAGATCGCAGCACGGACGGATGGGCTTTCGGTTTACTGTGGGTTGGCCAGAGTAACACCACAGAAAGGTACACCTGTGAGCCATAAATAGTGCTGACCCTTTCATAAGATGACATTCATGGCACTGTCACTACCTCCGTTGGAGGATCTGAGCAGTAACACTGTGGCTAGTTCATTTTGAATCCTACAGCACTAATGTCTTTCTGGAGATTAGCATCTGCTTCTGATTGTTTCTCCAAGTAAGCAAATCCAGGAAACATACAAACACAATGAACCACCGGAGCATCTTCTAATGCAAAATCAGCCTAAAATACCAACTACTTGTTCTACTGCAATGTCCGACATTCTCCTATTTTTATTAAGGTTGAGCCCTTCATAGAGAAGTTTGACTCAGTGCCAGATTATCTGCACCAGGTGTTCCACATCCTGTCAATCTCTAACATTTAGCGCAGTTTCACATTTTGACATAAATTCAACTCTGTGACAAACCCTAACCAGCAACCTGGGGACCAGTAAACATATGCAGAAAATGAGACTGGGCTTGAGGCAGACACTGGTATCAAAATGTGCTAAACATTTAAAGCTAACAATCTGCCGGTACACCAAACCCTTAAAGTACCTGTTGAAGAACTAAAGTAGTTACTCTTATGTTGTGTTTACATTCTGCCATGACAGCTCAAATTTTCCATTAATAAAGGATCATCTCATCTTATCTCAGTTCACTTAATAGATCAGAGAAACTGTCAAACCCAGTGGAGTTTAAAGCGTAGATTAATGTAGTGTTGCCCCTCCCCTACTCGCTGCTGAATGTCCACATAAGGTTCTCACACACTTCCTTCTGTTAGAAGGAAATATTCAGAAATATTTCTTGTCGCTACATACTACATGAGGACAACAGTGTTGGGCAAGCTGAGAGGAGGCAGAAGGCTACTTGAGCAGATAACCTGACTAACCCGGTTATTTCTGGTGTTACTCTATAAAAACAAATTGCCAAAAAATATATACATCTTCAATTTCCTAGACTAAATATTCATTATATAAAAACAAGGGAAAAAACTGTTTTGGGGACTGGAGTGGAGGCTGTCAGTTTGTCTGGTGACAGACAAACTCACAATAAAGTCATTCAACTCATCTCCATGCGAAGGCTGGAGATGAAGGTTGGTGTGGGTGCGTGCGCAGATTTTCACACAAGGAAGAAAAGAACATTGGGGGAAAAAATGGCGCATGTCGAGTCGAACGGTGCAAAGACGAAGAGAAAGCAGAGGCGGGGAAAATAAATGTTATTCTCCTCTTGATAGACAGTTAGGGAACAAACCATTTCCCCCTCAGCGGGGATGTCGGATCGGTCTTAGTCAACATCATGCAAGTCATCGTTAACCGGCATGATTGTCCATGCGGCCGCGGTGTGAGTGTGGCGTCCCCGTACTGGACGACAAGCTTTGAAAGCGACTCGTCCCTGATCAGGGAGAAATGATGACAAAGCCAGTCATGCCTCGACATTTAGGGCAGACGCTGGTTTATTTTCGATGCCGTTTTCATGCCTGGTTGAAAAATGCAGTGAATGACTGGTAGAGACGGTGGTGACAGCAATTCAGAACTGACAGCATTCAAAATGGGTATTGAATACTTCATCGTTTTTTCTCATCAGAAATCGGCCTTTTGAGATGGATTCACATTATCTGCTAAGACAAAAACCCTAGTAGGACATGCAGTCATACAAGCAAACAAAGAAACCAACACAAATTGCTTTTAAATTGAGTTACTGTATTTGTGAAGGATCACCTCATCTCAGTTCAAGAAAAACTTAAACCTGTGAAGGAAAAAGCCAAGCAAAGATGGGGAACCGTCCAACACAATTGCTTTTAAATTGAGTTACATCAACCATTCAAACCACCAATAGAGCATCCCAGCAGTATTTACAAATGCTAATATTGCAATAGCGCCAAATATTAAGGGCTGGTTTTGCTTTGTAAAGAAAAAAGAAATGGCAAATTCTCTGATTCAAGCAGATGGATTCAAGTGTCTTTCCGTTCACAAGTGATTGCAGGTTGGAACGGGAGATAGACGGCCAGACTGGGGCCTCGTCTGCTGTCATGTGGGCTCTGCTCTGATACGTCTTGTTAAAGAGCAGACTGAGACGAAAAAGAAAATCTCCTAATACAACCTTGGACATGGATCGGGAAGGGAAATGAGCTTCCTTCGTAGGGAGTCTGGCACGGAGCGCCATCACTGGCAGGTTGTTCAGAGCAGAGCTGCTGCTCCACCGCTTCAGAAAGAGTCAGTGAAGGTGGTTCAGGTATTGTGACGGAGAGGCACAGTACCTATGAACCCTACAAGGGTTCCCTATGAAGGGCTTTCAGGAACATCCCACTGGAAGGAGACTCCATGCCAAACCTGGAATGACACACTTCTGGATCCTCGAGACTACAGAGCATTGCTTGTTAGAGTAATTTTTGTTTCCCGAAAGCTGGAATAAGTGACCTCTGTGACCTTGTCTCTCAAAGACGCAAAAGACAATAAATGGTGTTGAGTACGTATTCTTAAGCCATTCAATTCTTTGGCTCGTTTGAGTTTATATTAGGTTGCAAATGATGGAGTGTGCAATTAATCTTAAACATTTAATGGGTTGATATTACATATTGCAGATTACCGTAATTAAATGACATATTTTGACCTAAGCCCTCTCTTCCACAGAGGATTACCCCGTTCACAGCAGCGCCTCATGGAAACGATAAAAGGCGCCAGTTCTCCTCCACTTGGGCTGAACCCAACACCAAGGAAGCGAAACAGCAACAAAAGTTGAACATTTCTCAACTTCGCGTTGCTTGGGTTAGGGTTCATATGCCAGCATTTGGGGACTGCTATTGAGAACATCATCTGAAATGGGCCCACTTGAAATATATAAAAGACAACATAAAATACTTATCTTCCATGTTGCAGTACTATAAATATATAAAGGGGCTGAATTAGGCTGAGATTAAGATGTACACCAGTGAGAAGCACAATAGAAAGGTCAGCGTTGTCCATTGACATGAAGCAGTTCTTAAAGATAATTCCTTGGACATCATCCTGGAGTAGAACCAATGACTCTGGTGACCATGATAGTCAATAATAGAACGTCGTGCCAAATCAAATAAAGGGCTAAAAAAGAAAACAAGGTAAGCTTCTCCAGTCCACACTGCTGCAGAGGCTGCTATTGTTCCTGACAGCACCACAACAATGCGCCTGCTGAACTTGCATTGTGGCTAATTACACTTTCGCTAAAATAGCGAGCTCATCTTTGAATGCAGAAAATGTCGCTTGACGGCTGGTAATTTCGCTGTCAATCAGATTACTCCCTAATCAGAGCAGCAGTTTAAGCTGTTTTATGACATTTCCAGAGACAATAGGCTGCACAGGGGAGGAAATGTAATTACCATCCGAGCATGTGGTGAAAAATTAATAAGTTAATTTGCAGCACCAGCAGAGTGTCAACAGGAATAAAAAAAAAAAGAAAAAAGAAAAAAGAAAATGTACTGAAGATGTACATCCGCTGAGTGTCCATGCGCAGGAAGCCCTGCGGACGCGACGCCGCAAAGTCAATCTGTCACTCTCGCGTGGGTCTCAGCAGCCCGGCTCCAGCAGAGAGCGCTTGAATTGTTGACAAATCTCCCTTGTCCTGCAGCGTGATGCATTGCAAACAGGCACAATAGATTGTGCTCTGCAAGAGGAAGCTCTGCTGCAAAGAGAAAAATGTCAGGCACCTTTGATAAATATTGGCTTTAAATACAGTCTGTCCCAAACATGCCCAAGGCCAATCTACTGGATAGACTTATGTAAGAGCTGAAGTATAAAGTGTAATTCATAGTCTCAATGTTAGACAGACATTCTGATGGGAACCAAATCATCATTGCTTTATCACTGCTCAGAGACGGATATTTTCTCTCTCTCTCTCTCTGTCTCTCTCTCCTTCTCTCTTTCCACTGAGATCAAGGCTGAGCTTTCATGTGAGCTTGAGGGTACAGTCTTGCTAATTGGCTACATCAATTTCACTTGGTTTGTAGCTGTGCAACACCTCATTGCATTCTAAATGTACCTGCATAATTTGGCTCCCCGGTTTGATAAAGGAGATTTTCGTCCCTCCCACCCCCAGCTCTAAATTATTCTCTCAGACCGTCTCTGTCATTAAGACGTGATGAAATTGCATTTCTGACACAAGCCCCGTCAAAGGTGCCACGAAAGGCATTCTACGCAAGCCATTCGCCGAGCCGTCCCGGCCCGAGGCGTTCAGAAGATATGAAATAACGCCTTCGCAAAGCATTTACTGGCCTCAGTTGTTTGCTTGGTGGGATCTTGAATTTGCAGAGCCTCGCGAAGGCATAGGTATCCACATTTCACATTTGGCCACATTGCAAACACAATGTTCGTTGTGTTGCGTTTCGATTTATGCAACAGAGCGACGTTAAGTAGAGCATACCTGTTGCAGACAAAACGAAGCCATGCCAATGACACCGCAGTGTTGAGAAGGGATTGAGGAATTTCCTGCTTTTCCAGATAAATGATCTCGACTTGTGATGAATCCATAACAGAAAGACTTGCACTGTATAGCTGTGCTAACTATTTGTTTATTGTTGCAATTCATATCACCACAACAGTCTCCCAGACAACCACGTTTTCCTACGATTGTGCGGCGCTCTATAATACGACAGAAACTCTAAACATACAGCTGAGGCACAAAGAAATTAGTCTAGAATAAAACGCATCCGTTCGTAGAAATGGTCAAATCTAAATTCCAGTTTCGATCCAAATTTAAATGTCACAACCACACTTTATCCAGTCTGAGCAACTTTGGACTATTTCACCAAGAATTATAAGAGGCATGAATGGCAGTTTGAACTTGGAGTGAAAAGTGACCCTTCAAACGATGTGAAAACCACATAAATGCACACGGCGCTTTTCCACAACATGGCTTCCTTTCCCACTTTGCCATCAGTCACTACATGCTGCTGCTCTGTTACGTAAAAACCAAGCGCCACAATGCATTGAAATGTGAAAGATAACACGAAAAGCATGAACAGTTTTGGAAAAGCACTATGTTCAATGACTCTTGATCCTCCTCAAAATGTTACAGATTTAACAAATCCACAACATGAAGCTGTCAGCTATATAAATAACCCCAATTTTGCAAGTGAATGCTGTAATTAAGGAATCCTTTGGCACACTGGATGTTTAACTTTTAGCAAACCATGGCAGATCCAGCTGAACTGATGTCCTCGCATGTGGATAAGCCTCTTGCTCAGTGGTAGGTAACTAGATTTCATTCCGGGTAATCATCGCACCAGCAGGCTTCGCTGATTAGCGCCTTCAGCAACAGAGAAATGTGATTTCACATTTAAAGTGCTCGAGCCTTATTCAGCACATCTATGACAGGTGAGCAAATACGGTTTAATAACCAAAACACAACGACTGAGAGACAACAATGGCGATGTCATGTCGAGCGCTTATCTGTCCTTTATTTCCAGTCGCATGCCTAGTCGGAGTTGTTTTTCTCGGTTTTTAATCCAGAGCAAATGACGTGACGCATTAGCATTTCTAGCCGTGCTGGCAGGATGTTTCTGGGCCTCCTGTCCAGCTCAAGACACCCTCATTACTCTCGGACGAGGGGATATAACATTTTGTGCTTTAATGGTCCCCGGACGACGAGTGCTGCTAAATTTGATTAGCCTTTTCAGCAGATATGAGCAAATGGGCGGGCTAAACATTGCACACCATGTTACGTGTCTTCCCAAGGATATCGCTGAACATTTGGTCCCAACAGGAACACGAGGCATCAGGTACAAGGACGGTGACAAGACACCTTGTTAGGCTCCGAGGCGATGGTTTCTGAACGGAAACAGTCGCTAATGTTATGAGAGGCCTGCAGAACTGCAAGTTAGTTGGTTAAAGACTGAAATGTTGCTCTGATATGAGCATTGTTGACCACATTTGGTTTTAAATTACAAGAGCTACCCCCATCCATGTTGGATTGCAGCTTGCATTTCACACTGTTGTCTGATTGCAGCCAACTCAGACAAGCTAATTCAAAGTTACATGGGTGTGTTGAGCTGACTGACCGAACTACCTTCCTGTAATATCGCTTGTCATTATAGTCCATTTTGTTGAGATTTACTTGTAAAGTATCCAGGCTTCCTGATTGTCCACATCTTCAACGCCATGATTATATTTAAACAACTTCTTCATACGTTTGGTTGAAAAGTGAAGACATTGCGAATTCCTGCGAAGTTAGACACTTACTAATAATTGCTCATAGAAGATTACTTCTCTGATCTGCTTCCACACTAAACCCGTCGTCTCTCCGATCCCTGTAAATATTGTCTTAATTTTTAGCCTCGAGTTCACAGCGTGACTCTCCCTTCGTCAATTAGGCTCCCAGTTAGAGTAAAACGACTGATAAAGCAGGGCGTGCTACATGGCGGGACTTTCTTGTGACTGATGGGATGTTTTCTATCTTACAACCCCCCTCAGCCATCTGTCTCAAAGAGCTTCACACACAAAGGCAGAAGATGATTAGCTAGATGGAAAACTCCATGACAAAACATTGGTTTGAAAGAGTGTAGAAGTGCAGAACATTTGTTTCTTCTCCAGACTTAACTGGTATTTAGTTTTACACCTTGTGTCAGAAATTCAAGGTGGATTTACATTTTTTTTTTTGCCTAAAATAACTAAGTAATGAGTCACATATATGCTAAATTTATTCACCTTTCTAGGGCAAAATTGAAGAACCTTGGAGGTAAGACAAAATTGTAAACACTTTACGGTTTGCAGCCCGAAACTGGAGATCGGGAAGCTTCAGAGTCACATAAAGACAGTTGCAAAGTCAGCCTTTCATGAACTGAACATTTGCACACTTAAGTGCTAATGTCTCAGCAAGAGCTAGAGAAATTCATCCATGCATTTAACTTCAAATGCATGGATGAATGCAAGTTTAGCAACAAAATATATTAAATATCTGCTGTTGTTGTATCAACCTTCCAGACCTCTCAGGTCTTCTGGTTCTGCTCTGCACATACAGAACCGAAACCACACATAGAGAAGCAGCATTCAATTTCTATGCACAACAAATCTAGAACAAACTCCTAGAAAACAGCACAACCCCTGAAACACCGAGTCGTTTCACATTGAAACTCGTTTGCGTTGCCTTTGATTAGAAGTGAGTGAAACACTGATCAACATATTTGGTACATACTTGCACAATGATTTTGGCAACCGCATTTGACAAAATGTGATGTTTATTGTTTCATATTTTATGATCTTTTTATGATGAAACTGTCTTGAAATCTGTTATACAAATAAACTTGACATTCGTCTTCTAACTTCTAACACAAGACTCCCAATTAGCTTGTTTCTTCTCTGTACAGCGGCAAACATGTTCATGTAGATCCAGAACAACTCGTCACATCCGCTACGACTTTAGTGCAGTTAGCTTTTAGCTACCCGAATGTTTGATAAATACCTTAGTGAGGAAGGCACTCGACCTCTTCTTACCTCCTCAAAGGAGGGGGGACCGGATGGGTTCATGCTGGGTAGACACCCACAGTGAGTCAGTGGCGCATGTCGTCATGCAACAAACCTCCCTCCATGTGCAGCCTGACCTCGGGCCCCGTCGGGCCCTCAGGCTGAAGGGATCGCGTGCATCGAGGTAGAGACTACGAGAGACGTTCCATCTGCAGCTGGGCCTACATTAGAGTTGGTGTGGGATGGTATTGAGCATATTTATAATTTATCAGACTTCACAAATAATTCATTATTGTACATATGGAGCCCTCAATAGTCTCGCCCAAACTCAGCTGGCGGCTCATTTTCTCATCGAGCCTCAGGAACACTTTGTTCCGATTAGCTTGGAAACAAAGGGGTTTTTGTTTCTTCGGTGATCGAGGGTTGTGGGGTGTCTGCGTGTGCCTGATGAAAGGTTTACACAAAAGCTTGATGGAGGTTTGATTAGGTCACAAACATCGACTGCTTCTTACTTAATCCCCAAAAAATGTTCGTCATAGTGGCTTATAAAGTCCAACACGAACACTGAATGGAGGCCCTGATGCCATTAGCTCCGACGATGCCGAATACCAACAAGTTTGCAGATCAGCGGCTGATTCTAACTAATCGGTGTGAGTAAACATTTCTCTCAACGTATCAACCCCGGCGTTTTCCACACATGTTTGATGGAATGAGTCACGGGAAACCTTGGACTCACACTGGACATTCAGCTGGATCGACGAGTTGGTCATCCCCACCAGGTTCTCGGCGATGCAGGTCAGCTGGAAATTGTTGTCGTCTCGGCTGATGTTGAACAGCGTCAGGTTGATCGAGTGGATGTCGGGCCAGTAAACGTTGGACTGCGGAAGCAGGTGGAGAGACGAGACACGGTTAGGTCTGCTGGTGAAACACTGTGCCGCAGAGACCCACTGTACTGCTGGGCTTTAAAAATTTAATCACTTAATTAAAACAAAGGTTAATTATTAATTAGCTAAAAATCCGGTTGAAGGAAACAGAATGCGGTCAAGAGATTCACCCCAACTTTGCTAATATCAGTTTAACATTGTGCGACATTTTTATTACAGTGTTCAGAGCAACAGGATGGAACTTTTTCACGTCTTTTCCGTCTCCATATGACCACTGTGCATTACAACAATTACACTACGTCTGTTTTCACTTTACTCACTCTTATCCATTATCTAGCTTTGCTTAAATGCAAAGCCCTGCGGCGGGGTGGGGCAATGCTTTATCTGCAAAGTCACTAAAAACATTAAAGTCATGGATAAAAGCTGCTGTGTAATTTCGGCAGACTGCTGTCTCTTCCTGCTTGCTTGCTTAACTGCAGTTTTCATAACGGCGGTGTCCTTGGGGCCTGTGTCAGAGAGCCAGAATAATGGGTCAGCTGCAATATTCTCCACGCAGAGCAGCTCCCTTACAAGAAACTGGCTTGTTGATATCGACTGTACATCAATATAGTAACCAGGCTGTAAAGAGAAACGCCGAGGCCAACAGGATGTCACCCAGCAGCCTCCGAGGGGTTGGTTGGGGGAACTAGCTGTGATCGTTGGGCTTTTATAAGTCTGAAGTGAGTTTTTTTGTGTGTGTGTGCAGGGCGGGATAGGGAACAGTTTAGTATTTGGAGTAGAAGATTAAATTAGTATAGAGTTGCACACGTTTTGCAATCCAACAGCGTCTCTGTACTGAAACAGCTTATCCTTATCTAAATGGTCTTCTTAATTTTTTCCAAATCTCCTCCCGCTATTTGCTTTTTTTTGCAAAGTACTTGCAAAGCTGTTGGCACTAAATATATGCAGCAGCATTTAAGCCCAGGTACAGGTTGGACATTATTTCATTAATCAGGCTGAATGAATAAAAGTTGTAGTTTTTGGACATTTTTTGTGGTTTCAAATTTAATTTGAATAACTTCAGGTGTGTTGTTGCAAACTGACCCATTATGTGAGTCAGTTTGACTTTTATTGATTGTAATTTTGTTTTTTCGTCTGTGTCTATTCAGAATTTCTCTTTGTGATTTTGACCCACTATTCGAAATGTTTTTGAAAATAGTCCCATTAAAATCCAATTTCAATTTATATTTTTTGTTTCATTCCTCAAGGTTTAAATTTCGTCTTATTTTTTTTTCCTAATCATTTTGCACCAATAAGGAAAAATAATCTGCAGTATCGACTTACTGTAAAACCTAGAGTTTTCCATACTTTTGACAAAACTTTTGTGCATATATTGGAGGTTTGAGTTGTGAAAATTGAAAGAGACGAAAGGAAATTTTTATGACATATGCTTTCACTTGAAAATGATTAAGATATAGACATATGTAGACCACGGTTGCACATGTGTTTTGTAAGGACGACAAATTCGAAAACCCAGGAAGTTCGTTATCATCTGAAGACCAGTAATATGTTTATTATTTGATACTCATCTGTTTTGCCCGTAATTGTTAAAGTAACAGAAAATTGTTCATTAACAAAGAAAGAAAAACAACCAAATCTATTGCCAAAGAAGCTGAATCTATTGTCAAATCTTCTTTCAAACTATTTCCTATTGACCTAGCAAAAAAATAATAATAATAGGGCAAATTCTCATCTTTGTTTACAGCAGTGATGTCCCTGCTCTGAAATATATATTCAAGGTTATACAGTGGGAATGAAGAGGAGTTTTTCAGAGATTGTACTCAACACCCTTTAAGTTGCTGTCAGGTCCTTGTTCAACTCTGGTCAAGAGTAGAATAAGGATTGTAAGAAATCCCTGAGAAAATGAGAAATATTTATATCAATCCTGAAAATGCAGTGGGAAGTTTGTTTACAAAAATTAGAACTGCATCAAAAAAAAGCAAAAAAAAAAAAAAAAAACTGTTGTAATCAAACCTCAAACTGGATTTGATGAATGTTATGTCAGCACCTGATATTGTGTTTGGTTTTAAGTTCATTTTATGCTGCATGCTGTTATGTTGAGCATAAACGCGGCTCTAGAAAAGACGTCACAACCACGTATAACATCCTCTCCACAAGTTTCCTTATGTTGTCGTGGTGACCACTGTTGGCCAAACAAACCAATAACAGAAAATAAAATAAAAAATGTTCTTAAACAGATATTTTGTGTCACTGATTCAGACACAATCCATCCGAAGTGTTAAAGTTTATACCTGCAACTTTTTCTCCAAGATTGCATTCCTCTGCATTTTCCAACTTTCCAAGTTGGGCATTCTTGTTTTGTTTGAGAGGAAATAAAAATGTTTGAGAGCAGTGACCAGCCGTTTAAATCTGTGCGTTTCTGACCAGGTGTGTGTTGATGGAGTGCAGGTCGCCGACGTTCCAGTCCACTTCAGGCAGCGGCAGTCTGGATCCGTTGCAGCTCACCGTCACGTTTTCGCCCTCCGTCACCAACACGCTGCTGTGGCTCACGCTGATCTCCGGTAAGTCTGCGAGACACGCACACAAACACAACAACAACATGCGATCAGGTCACCAAGCGTGAGCTTAAAGTCTGCGTATTTTCCAGATCAGGCCAAATCACCTCAATTAATAAATATAATAATGAAGATACTCCGAACGGAGACGGATTCTCCCTCATATTGTTTGAGGTGAGTCACCACAAGATAAAGGAGCAAAGTCTACAGCCTCTGTCAGGTTCCACATGCAGCTCGACACATCAGATTCACCCTGTGATCTCTGTCACGCCTCCTCCTCTTTTACGCATCACCCTCACTGTGCCCTTTGACCCTCTCCTTTGCTCCCTGTTTGGTTCCCGTTTCCCTTCCACCCCTGCCGTTTTCCTTCCCAAGCCCACCTACGCCCTCGTCGGCCCCGTGTTTTCTCACCACAGCTGTTGATGTGCATGTTGTTCAGTCGCATCTTGGAGGCTCCGTTCCTGCAGTACAGCTGCTGCGTGTGAAGCCCCGCCTCGCCCTTCTCCTGCCACAGCTGGATCCAGCGGATGCTGCAGCCGCAGTCGAACACCACGCCGTCCAGACGTCTGGAAGAGCAGGCAGAGGACAGCGCCGTTAGTAGCAACAACAGGATAGACATAAGCAGCACTACCAACGAGGGAAACTCAAAATATTTTAAGGATACGGACAACAAACTGCCTTGCATACATTTCCCAGAATGCAAATGCAAGTAGTTTGGCTGGGATTTAAAAGAACTTAGTAGCAGCTTGTGCTGCCTGAGGCATCCATCCTTGAGCAGGGCTCAGGGATTGGAAACATTCCTGTGTCCTTTCATTAGTGCTGCACTACAAAGAGGCATAAAACAATTGCCACCTGCCTAACCGTGTGTTAGAAGCACTTTTGTTGCCAAAGAATCCTTGATCCACCGGCACATGAACTCCACTGGATCCCTAAAGGTGTGTCGCAGTATCTGCAACCAAAATGGTATCAGAAGAACCTCTAAATCTTGCAAACTGCGAGGTGGGCTCTCCGCGGATCAGACTCGTTTGGCAGAGTGGATTGTTGTGCTGAAAGACACTACGAGTGTCGGGGTATACCATGCAGTCACGTTTAGGTAAACGTGGATGGCAGGATCCACGGTTTCCCAACAGAGCATAACCCAAACCATCACTTAGTCTCCACCAGGTTCCGTGATGTTTAGGGTATAGATGATCCTGGTGGTGTAATACAAACTTAAGTCAACATGATGTAGAGCAAAACGTGAATCAACAGGCCACGTCTTGCATTGGTTGGTGGTCCAATTCTGAAGCTAAGAGTTCTATATTTATCACTTCCAAGGAACATGCAAAGTAAACAAAGAGACCCTGATTGGTTCCAACAAACGAATCCGCAATGCACCGTGTATTTCCACGCATTTCTATCCACACCAGCATGTCCCCCAAGTCGGTTGTCTTGGCATCACATAGCCGCTGTTGATGTTTGAACACCCCAGAAGAACTGCAGTTATTTTGTTATTACAGTTTGGTTACACTTAAAATCCTTCTGGTTGCACCGTTTTATGTTCACTTGCGTCCTCATATATCCACCCACTAACAGATAAGTCAGTGCAGGTAGTCATCTCAGTAGACGAAGCCACAGATTTCAGAGGGAATTTTGGGAGTGTGATTTGTTTTATACTTATCTCAAGTCCTCACATTTGGGTTGTTCACAAGCAGGTTTGTCGTTTTCAACTCCTGATATAATGTAATTCTGCTTCATGTTTCAATATGTGTCCTTACTTACATTGTCACGTCAGCAAGGCAAATATGTTGCCTATCTATCAGGCTAAAAGAACCAGCGGTCACCCAGAGCTTGGTTACTGAAACACATTTTGCATCAGCAGACAAAACGTTATTATCGTGGTACTACAATTAAGTTAGCTGATTTTCATAAGGCTTTTCTTCATTAGTTTTCTTCAGGTGACCTGATGTTTGCCTCGGCAATTAAAAACATCATTAGCAAAATAATAATTTCTCAAGGTCTTGAGGTACAGTTAGCTGCTCTTGCAGTTACATAAGTTGTGTTCTTGCATCGATGTTCACAGCAATGAAATGTCTCGATTCTAAGAAGTGTTACTGTTTCAAGGGAATAAAAGCAAAAAAAAACAAATTTACCGTGGATTTATGGATGCAGCCATGGGAAAAGGAAATACAAGCGTATGTAAGCACCTGACCATGAAGAAGAAAACACCAGCAATGACCTTCATGTAGTAAAGGTTCCTCATATCGTTCAAGTTCACCCATTTTACAGTGAGAACACAAAAGTAGGAAGCTGTAGTCAACGATAAGAAAGTTTTCCCCAACGATAAACCAGAACGCCAAACATTGCAATGCGACAAGAAACCCTGAAAAAGTACCAATTATAAGAAACTGTTGCATTTAATCTCAACAAAGTATTGTATATGTTTTGAAATTAGTTTTATTTATTTATTTTTTTTGCATCAGGATACTGAGACCAAAGAATAGATGTTAGGCCATAATGCAGAGTGACATGTTTGGAGTAAAGCATGGAAGGGATGGAGGCTTAGGTTTGTTTTGAAGCCTCTTGCAGTCAATGAGTCGACCATTGAGTCCTATTCTATGATCACCAGCTGCAGTATTCAGATGACCGAGCCTGCTTTGAACGCTCATTTTTTCAAATTGAACGCTAAAAGCACCTAACAGTGCACCAGAGTGACCAGGAGTCTTTGTATTATCAGTAGCAACAGAATACTCAACACAGCATCAAATCCATAACAAAAACTCCAGATTCTCAGTCAAAGTGCAGCTCTAGTGCCGACTCAGATGAAATGTTTTTCAGTAAACTGATCCAGTCCTGTGAAGAACAGTAGGTCAAGGGGTCAGCAACGGCCATGTTGAATAATGTCAAGACTGTGCCACAATGAATGGAAATGTTGAAGAGTCTGAAAACTAAAGTACAATGAATTCTCCAAACAGGCTTCACAGATTTAGGTTTTCCCGCAGCTTCTAATAACCGGATCTTCTCTCATCAGTCACGATCGGCAAAGGCCAACAACGTCAGGCTGCCGCAGCACCAGACAAGCATCAGTCGTTTCCTTTATTCAAAAATTTCATTTTCAGTCCAACGCGCAGCTGACACCCGCATTCTTCAGCTCCGCGCGCCGCCTCCGCATTTTGCACCCGCTCCGTTTGGAGGTTCTGATTGGCAGATTTTGTCAAAATGAACGCCAGTCCAAATCTCCTTCAGAGAGGTCAATAAGATATTGCAGAAAGCCTGAATAATGCATGAGCAGCATCCAGTGTGCTTTATGAAGTCATGGGAATGGAGTCCCACAGGTGGTTCGCACTTTTCTATAGAGCTGATTATTCGGTTGGAGCAGAGCGTCTGTGTCACTTTATGACGACTTCGTCTCAAAACTGTCCACACTTGCCAGATCGGTCTGTTATGAACTTCCACAGGAAACTAATTAAGGGTCTCAGTGCCTGAAATAATGGCCAACTTAGTTGCTTTCTAAGCAATTTTGGGCAAGTTGCATTTATAGTTAGGCTCCTGGTGCATCAAGGTATTCTGGTCAGCAATAACACAGCAATAGTCATTTTTCCCACATACGGCCATATTTAAGATTTTCCTTAAATTCATTGATTGCTCGCATCATTTGTTCCTGATGACTTATTCTGTATTGCAGAGATCTCTGTGACTGTCGCCTCACAGGGGGCATATGCAGTGATTAAAATATTTGCCACAGTAAGTAGAGCACTTATGTAGCACAGCATGAAACGGGTCACGACTGTTTGGTTCATCAGAAACGGAGTCACTTCAATGTGAGCTGAAGAGAACATTTAATTCTATTACACGTCTGTAAATGAACCGTCTCTCTCTGGGGTCTCTGTCTTGCAATGTGTGCAGGAAATGCGTTAGGCTGCATCATATTGACGTCATCACATTGTGTAAGTTACGGTCTCTATATTGTATCGAAGGTTTTCCGATCCAGGTCGGTTTTATACTGCATTGCAGGTTCTTTCATGACATTCCAGCTGATTTTCATTTTCATTTTTCAATCATTTTCTTGTCATTTGTTGGACTGGATCCAACAAAACCGAGGTTAAATCACTCAGGAGGATTGTTTACTAGTTGGGCGAGTTTTTAATCGGTTGCACTCGATTTCATCTGGAGGAGTGTCAAAGCAAACGGAGCCGGAAACCCGAGGCGCACTTTGCCACACTTAACATGGTGTACTCGGTTTTTTGTGTGTTTTTTTTTCCACATTACTGTACAGAGATGTCTTTCTTTCCTTTTCCTGGAAGGTTTGGGGAAGACGAGTAGCTCCCTTTATGACAAGCAAGAGAACATTTCAAGGTGAAAGGTTTTCAGTTAACGCTGAGCGTGCAAACCACCAGGGAGCGAAACTCACTGGAGCAGCAAGGCTCAGGCTTTCCCTGTTCTGCTGTAATTATGGTGATTATTAATAATAGCCGCCACCTTCACACATTAGCCATGTTGCCTCGAGGCTGAGCTGATTGGCACCTGCACTGGGCCAAATACTTTGGTTAAATAAGAAAACCTTGTGGCCCTGCAGCCAGCTGGGGAGGTGCAGTGAGACGATTGTGAGGCTTCAGTGTGAAGGAAGGAAGGAGGGAAGGAAGGAAGGAAGGAAGGAAGGAAAAAAGGAAGGAAAAAAAGAAAGAAAGAAAGAAAGAAGGAAAGAACAAAAGAAAGAAAGAAAGAAAGGAAGAAAGAAAGAAAAAAAGAAAAAAGAAAGAAAGAAAGAAAGAAAGAAAGAAAGAAAAAAAAAAAAAGGGGTTCTGACCGGCAGCTGGAAGTTGATGAATGTCTGAAGGAGAATATTTCTGGCTTTAGAAGGCATATGCATAAATATGAGAAGGCCAACACACAGAGCGAGCTGCATGGCGTTTCTCTACCGCTAGCTAACAATCCGCCCTGCTACTACAGACGGGAGGCAGCGCTCACCACCACAGGCTGCTTCTGGGATGTGCACACACAGGTGCTCCGGCTTAGAAACCGTGCATCACAAAGAACCGCAGTGGCGTTCGCGGGCTTTGATCTCAGCTTCAACCCGCCGCTTGCTTTTCTCGCCACTGTTATCAGGAATTATCTCAAATCCTGGCTGTTTAATGGAACTTTTTGATATAAATGTTAACGCCTTCCCAAAATTTGAGAGTTTGATCGTCGTGACGGGGGGCACAAGTGATGTCTTGTGATCTTTTGGATGCTGTCATGCTTTGACAGCAAGACACTTGACTGGAAACGAATAATTACTTCAGATATTTACAGGCGAATGAATCGCATCCAGCATAGAAGGTTTTGCATTACATTAAGCAAACATTTTTATTGGTTGACAAGAATCTGCAATGTACTCTGGTGTAAAACTGCCAAAAAAATAGATACTTATTATACAGTAAGAGAGGATCTACACCACACACCAATCTAAAAACCATCATCTACACAAAAATAAATAAACCACTGAATGACACTGCAACACAGCATTTGCAGTACCTCAGTATGATTCAGTGCTTCACAGGTCAGCAGTTTTCTAGGGAATATTTAAATAAGCATAAAACAATCCCTT